ACGACTGCCAGGAGGAATGCCACCTTGATGCTAAGATGGAGATCAGATGCATCGGACAGCGGTTCGAAAGGGGGGACCGGTGAGAATGCGCAAAACGTTGCCAAGGTACCAAGAAAGAACAAGGCGTTTGACGTGAGAACGCTCAACAAACATTCCCTAAAGTAGATGGTGGATGGCAGTGTTTTCAGAATTGTTGATCCGTTGTTGAATCCCGAATGAACAGCTGCCAGGGCCGACCGGAAGTTGCGGAGAGTAGCAATCTGGAGGCCCGAATGAAAGAGATACGTGAAAAAGTCTGCAAACTGAGCTTACAGAAGCTTCAGTTGGAGAAACATCGTGGTCATTACACCATCTAGCAAAATGTTGTATTCGACTGTTGTAAATTTTGCGTGTGGAGAGTCGTCGGCCCCGATCGCCATGGACGCAGCATCTGCAGACAGGCCTGACACTCTAAAAGACCGTTGGACAGTGTCCAACACGTCAAGTGAAGATCGCTCGGTGCTGGATGGAGGATTCCTGACCTGGGTTGACAAATATCCTCCCTGTGTGGAAGGATCTGTGGTCGACGAACCAGGAGCCTTGTGAGCCTTGCGAACCACGATTGTTGAGGCCAGCATTGAGGGCGATGAGAAGAACCCAGCATGGTTCTTGTTCTATCTAGAATAAGACTCGGGGAATGAGGGATATTGGAGGAAAGGTGTACGCCAGAAGGTCGGATCAATTCACATGAAGAGCATGTGTCACAAAAGGTCAGAAGATGGGTATTGTCAGCCGATGCAAAGAGGTCGACGTGGGGGCACTCTATCTCTGTGAAGATTTGGGTGACTACGCTCGGATTTAGAGTCCACTCCGTAGGGTGGACAGCGCCCTGAGAGAGAGCGTCTGCTATGTTGTTGGACATTCCCAGTATGTGAACAGCCTGGAGAGTGATGCCGTGATCGATCACCCACATGAAGATCTTCCATGTGAGGAAGCATAGCTGGGGGAGCAAGTACTGCCTTGGTGGTTTATGTATGCTACCACTGTGGAGTTGTCGCTCTGGATTTGAACCGAGAGACTCACTAAGTGCCGCTGGAAGTGACGAAGGGCGTTGAATACTGCCTGAAGTTCCAGCAGGTTGATGTGTTTGTTGCGGAAGGAAGAGTCCAAAAACTCTGGATGCATGAAGTGGAGGAAGGGAGGCCCCCCATCGAGGTGGCCCAGCACAGAACAGGTAGAGAGGATAGGATCACACTCAGAGTCTCCATTTGAAACCGCCTTGGCCTGATGAACTTGTTTAGCGGTTTCAGGTTGATTATTGGTCGCTATTTTCCTGGGTCTTTTTCGGGTGCGAGGAAAAAGGACGAAAGGAAGCCGGTGAATAGCTGGTTCCCATACACCAGTGTGATGGCTCGTTTGCATGACAACGCTGCAATATACTCTTCCACAGCCAGGCTTTTGAGTTTGTCGTAGGGAGGAGTGGAGCGGAAGACCATCCCGGACGGCAGGGAGCTCGTAAACTCGAGGGAGTAGCCGTGAGCAATGACGGAGAGGACCTAGCTGTCTGCGGTGATTTCGCGGCCGCCGACGGGTTCGGGGGCCGCCAAAGGCAAACAGAAGAAGTCATGGACACTGTCCCCTGATAGGACTGGGGGCAGGGTGTGAAGAACCACGGCCGGGAGGGCGCGGCTGAAAACTTCTGGGAGCTGATGTAGGAGAAGCTCGCTGTGGGGCCGATGACCGAGTAGCCACCCAGAGTGGATGGCTAAAGGGGTGAGCAGCCAGTGGGGGCAGAAAAGAACCACAAGAAAACAAAGCATGCAAGAAACGAAATAAGAAAATAAGCACTCTTACCAATAGACAAGAAAACACTCTTTATTTCATAAAAGGAATCAAGTCAATTCAATAGCACGAAAGGTACGGAACTTGAGAATTAGAGGAGTCATAAAAGACACATCCGTAAACTATAGGTGCTGAGAAAAGAAGGACGAACATGGCAGCGGGACCGCAGCGCATTGTGGTGGGTCAGGGGGCAGCATGCATAATCAGATCTTTTCAGCGAATTGTAAAAGGCACATGGGAAATTTGCATACGTAGGCTGGGCAGGGGTATGTGAACGCAGGAGACTGTAAAAAAATTGTTCTGAAACCCAACCCTTGATAGTGACTGACAAAACTCCAGTAGTTGTATCAGAGTTCAAGTTTCACGACTGTCATATCGAGATTTTCCTGTTTCAAGGATCCATTACATCATGAGAACTCTTATGAATGAACTTCTGTGAAAGTAACTGCCCCAAATGTGAATATTTATGAAAAAAATCCCGAATTTTTGAAGCCCTTCTTTGGCAGGTCATTACTCATGAATTATATATTTGTTTTACCTGGCTGCAAAAGTGAGACAAGTGTACAACAGTATTTCAATTTTACAACGGCCAAAACAGCAGTGCACCAAATGCAGAACCAGAACACGAGCCTACTTGTACATGTGTGTGCGTATGGAAAAATCAGCACATGGGATAAATGGGTACGTTGTGGCAATGTGCTCATTTATCCGGTACATTCTTCCCAAAGAGCTACATGTATAATAAAAACTAGAGTGCTGACTCATGCACAAAGTATTCTAATCTAGACCTGAATGTAAATAAGTCAAAGGAAGTTATTGCTGACTTCAGAAGACCCAACCTAGTATTGTTCCCTTAGTCATTAATGGTTCAGAATTTGAAAGAGTACATATTTCAAATTTCTTGGTATTAAAATCTCTACAGAACTAAAATGGGATTTCAATATGGATTGCTTCATCAGGAAAGCTTGACAAAGACAATTTTCTCTAGATGGTTGAAGACTTTCCATGTCAGCCAAAGACTGTTATTGAAGTTCTACAAGTCAGTGATTGAGAGTGTCTTGACACAGTCAATCACTGTCTAGTGGGACAATGCTACCATTGATGACAAGAAGTTTCTCAGTCGGATCATTTGCACTGCAAGTAAGACATTTGGATGCCAACTTCCATCACTAAACGATTTGTGCCACTCTCGAGCTAACACAAGAGTTCAGTCCATTGTAGATGATAAGTTTCATCCAGCTCATAATCTCTTTCAGCCTATGTGGTCAGGTAACCGGTATTGTTCAATAAAATGCAGAGTTTTTATCCAACAGCAATCCGCATCCTTAATTACATGCACGAATTTTTTTAAAAGAATACGTCAACAAATGCGATATGCAAACAACCTGAATGCACAGTTAGTATTTCATTTTGCTTGATGCCAAAAAAGGCAAACGCACGTGCGTTTGCATTGCTCATGAACTTGCTGTGAGTTTTTGTCTTGATCGGATTTTATCAGTACCCTACAAGTCTGTATGTGCATGACAGCTGCTGCTCTAGAGCTGTCAACTCATAATAACACTGACTCCTTAATTTAGCTGAACTTATTCATCGAAAGACACCCTTCGGAAGACATGCATATAAAATCTGATGACATTGCTCTAATGTATGGGAAACATTTGATACGAAAAATAATTATAATAATTATAAAATTATCAGCTATGGATGTAAATAAACAAGTGCCATTGCTCTATACATGAGCCTCTTGTTCAAAAGACGCGCTGACATTTGTGTATGTTATACTTGAGTATTGCATTTAGGATACATTATTTGATATTCATTCTATCTGATAGTATAACTTTAATACTGTAAGCTAATATTAAAGTTGATCAAATCTCAAAATATTGAGGGTCTGACATTTCAATCCTAACAGAATCTTTCTCCATGGCAAAACGACAAGTGGACAGGACAAACAAGCAAAAACAGAGAATCAACCAAGCATGGATGGACCTTTCCTTTTGTCCTCTTGCATTTATCCATGCTTGGTTGATTCCCTGTTTGCTTGTTTGTCCTGTCCACTTGTTATTTCACCTTTGATAAATATCCTGCTAGGGTCGAAAAGTCAGGCCCTCAATATTTTCAGATCTGTGTTTTAGGTCATTGTAGTCAGCGAGCAGTTTGCAGCAGTTTTGTACTACATATCTAGGTTGATCAAGTTACAATACGTTGCATGGTGGCACATGAGGGCGTACTGCGATTGATCAATTTTTAGTGAATGGCTAACTGGCGTTAGGGAAATAATGCTGTAGTAGGTCATTCAGGTACATGTTAGTTGAACGTAGTAAACTACTGAAAAAAAAATAAAAAAGCATGTGCATATCTAGAAGAATGACAAGTTTAGGATAGCTATTGACACAGCATGACCACCTGAGTATTTGTTTGCTCAGTAGCTTTCGTCCACCTCTAGGGAAGAAGCACTTGTAAGAGGTACATGTACTACTTTCTTCTTACAGGTGCTTTTTCCCATTGTTATTCTAACTATACTTTTATTTTGTAACTCAGCCTCTAGGATTATCACCGTGAGTAGTTTTTGAACCGCATGCTTTAATGCTTAATAGCAGTTAAGATGTTTATATCTTGCTCTACCTTGATCATCTATTTTTCACCTATGAGTAGCTTCAATATTATGTCAATATTCCTTTTGGTCACTTTTGTTACTGTCTAATCATCTAGTGTACTCGAAAAATTATATCAGTGTGAACCAGTGTAACCAAACTGCATGTCCCAAGCAATTTTTACCATTAATACCAACATTTAAACTTGATTTCAGTTTGCAATATGACTTTAAAGTGAGTACAACTCTAAGGGTGAAATATGGAAAGATAAGAACAGATGCCAACATTCAACAAAATGCAAGGCTTTCCAGGTATTTTTTAACTTAATTTTTCTCAACGTCGAAGTTTTGGCCAAGAGTCCTCTCATTCATGCAATCATGTGGCAGGCTGTCACCAAACATGGGCTATACCAAACAACTGATAGATTGAACATATTTTTGGTGGACCCCATCATGTTTGTTACAGCGGCATTATTTCAAGTGTGAAAGGCTTGGAGAGCAGGTACAGACAGGAGCATTTTAAGGGTTACATAAAGTACCTTAACATTAGACATAACTCTAGCTGTCTACTCATTTGCTAACTTACTTATATCTTCTTGCACCACAGTGTTATCGAGGGCTACATGTACTGCCATATTGCTCCAACTGTCAAAGGCAACCAGCTTGCGTAACACTTGAGCAACAGTATTAGGTCCAAACCACATACCGACCGACTTGCCTTCACCAACACCCATTTGTGCTGAAAAAGAAATGAAGAAAAGTTGTTGCTCATGTTAATCTGAAAAGCATTCACAGGGAAGCCAATTAGGATATTTAGAGCAATAATTTGTCGGATATGGTTGATTCTAGGGAGGAAACAGAATAATGACATATCTACTCTACTGTCATTGTACATTGTAGGATTTCATTAGTGTAGCTACAGGTAATTGGCAGGGCAATTCTCACCTAAAGTGAGCCTCTCATTTTCAGCTATTGTGGGGAAGATTTTGCCGGGTGCCAATGTGGGGTTGACTTGGGTGATAAACAATGGTGGAATCAATTTCAAAGTTGGAGGGGGACCGGTTGTGAGACTATTAATTGTGAGCCATTAGTAGAACGATCCATTAACCACTTCCTGCCGAGGCAGTTATCAATGTTGATGATGTTTGGCGGGGATACTTATCTTTTTTTTTCTGTTTTCAGGATTCTTTAAAAATTCCTATCTTCATTTACTGGACACTTACAAACATGTGAAGGACTGTCTGTTGTGCACTCTAGCCTGACAGACAAAATCTATTGATGCCTGAGTATTTTAGCCAGGCCTGCAGCATTGTAAAAAGAGCCCAGATTGTGCGGTGTTATAGAACTTTCTTTTGTCCACGAACCTAGCTCAGTGTGCTGCTGACCTCTTTTCAACGGAGGCCAGATTAGCATGCAGTGGGGCTGTGTGGCTCATCGCTGCAGTGGTGGACACCAGACATTCCTTCACGTGTTTGTAAGTGTCCAGTAAATGAAGATAGGAATTTTTAAAGAATTTTGAAAACAGAAAAAAATGATAATTATCCTGGACCAGCATCATCAACATTGATAACTGCCCCTGGCAGCAAGTTGTTAAGTGATGAAATAAACAACTGACTAAAATTACGGTTTGCAAGACCAGTGTTTCCCCCAAAGCGTTATAGCGTAGCGGCACCGCTACGCTTTCAAATTGAGTGCTACATTTAAAATGTTGCCATTAAATTACCTTCAACACTTGCTACAAAAATATTTAATGATCCAAACACGATACTGTAACTGACGATCGCGCAGCACGGGCGGCCAGCTGGACACACAAGGACGCACATGTGCATGTACACGTACATTAACTGTACATGGCACGTAATTCTTTAGGAAGAGCAAAAGCAAGTGAATTTTGTGATGTAAACAATAGACACAAAACAGGTCTTCTAGTGTTATACTGACAAATTCACTTCGAAACATGCTTCGTGCTCAATTTCACGGAAAGTACAATTGGTCTAAACTTGTTTTTTCTTTTTCATGACGGTCTACTGACTCGTTGGTGCGCCGGACAATATACTATATCACAAGAATCCGCTGCAGTATACAAACGATGCATATTGTAAAAAGTGTTGCTTGTGCGCACGTGCTTGAACTTTTTGCAAATTCAAAGATGTTACGTCCAATCACCTCGTTTTTCCTGACAAAAAGGCAAAAATTTTCGGGACAAAACGCTGAAACTATCGATGGTGGAAGTCAAGAGGATAACTTGCCAGCCTCTATGCAAAGTATTTTGTATGTCTGTGCCTTATTTATCATCGAGATAAAAATACACTTTCAGACTTGAC